GATAGAGTGAAGCCGCGAAAGTCGAAGCGCGAAGTGGCGAGGGACGACTGTATATCCCATTTTACCCTTACACGTTTATTATTAACGTTTTCTTAACTATTAAAGATTTATAACCAAGAATGCCTTCAAATGAAAAGCTCAAAACAAACCGGCAGTCGTGGAGTGAAGATGCCATTAAGAAAGCTATTGATGCGATTTTCAAATGAGAATGTGTATTCAAAACAACTGTCAAAATCTAAAGAATGACCAAATCAACGATGGAAAGGCGAGTGAAAGGAAAGAACATGCAGCTGGAAGTTGAAAGAAACTGGGAAATAGACTGCCAACTTTCCACGTTGAATTAGCGCAGCAATTTGTTAACTATATTAAAAACATGGAGAGTATGCTTTTTGGACTGACTTCTGATGTTCGTTGTCCTTCCAACTTGCTGGAAAAAAACGGCATATTTTTTTGCATGCTGGTTGTATCCCATTTTACCAACATAGATTATAATAGAAAACTGCCCGAGTTTTGGGAAGAAAATATTTGAGCCCCTTAATATAAATATTTTCTAGAATGTTTTCATATTATACGAGCCAGAGGCATATTCAACGTACATGACAATATTCGAAGGGTTAGATGCAATTTCCAGGCCTACAGGTTCTTCCAAACCTTAGGTATCCCGTATTACCCCACCTTCCCCTACCTTTCTTCAACTCCTCTTGGGACAAATTTTGAAAGGACCCATATATCCCATGTACGGGATTTTTCTTCATATATATTGCTGGGATTTATAAAAGGAGTCATCAATCAACGTTTTTGGAATATTGACGAGTCAAATTTGACCTTGAAGGCCTGTTACAACCAGTTTTCACTTTTGAGGATCATATTCCCCAACATTACCCTATAAATTAAATTGTTCGCCTATGTGTTTTGGTGGCCATCTCTAAAGCCGCGCGTTGCGAGTCTGATATATGATCGGTCCATGTCATTGATTTGACAATAGGAATTCTTTGAATTCTGCAGCACTAAATCAACAGTAATAAACGGGGTCAGGAAGTCGGTTCGAAGGTGCCTTTGCTGTCTTCTTAATTCACCTCAATGGGTCTTCCTTAATTAAAGCGGCACAGCATTGGCATTTGCTGTGGATCGTCGGATCCTTGCTCCAGTTCAGCATAACCTTGATTCAGTACCCAGAGCTCGCCACGCGCAAAGAAAAGGAACCGTATATACACTGTCATGTAATTACACGTGGAGATATGCGGATGGGAGGACTATAAACAGTAAGCAGAATGAATAGCTAATCGATGTCAGTGTGCGACATTCTGTTCTGTTCCCCTCTGGGCCAACATTTTCTTTCTCCCAGACATAGTATCACGACTCCGGTATTAGCTGCTTCGTCCGAGTCCCAGTGTACCACATTGAAATCAGCATGAAATCTCTTCTGGCCTTCCTGCTCTGCTTCTCACCTTTTCTGGTCAGTCGTCCTATCAGTCTCTTTTCGTGCTTCTCATTTCGATTTTGAAGAATAGGCTAAGAAAAACTTTTTTTTCCTCCTTTGAAGTACATGGAGGTGGATGGGGCACCTAATGGTACGGAATCTCGCGAGGAAGAAACTACAAAACTCCAGCAACAAATTCCACAAGTAGAACCTCCTAGCAATGTCACTGCTGAAAGCCTCAAGGAAGTACGGTTTCTTCGATGAGTCACCACCGACCACATTATTGCAGCTGTTAATTGATTGGTCTCTCGATCTGCAGAAGCTGAAAACGGCGAAAGAAACGATGCAGAACATGATGGCCATCGCAGAGGACTGGGTGAATCGACTCGGAGAGAAGGAAGAAAGAAACGAGACGCACGAGAACGATACCGGAATCGATTTTCGTTCCGACCTCCATCGGGAGATCCTCACGAATCGGGAACTCATGAAGGAGCTCCTCAACGTTTCTCAGTGAGTCGAGAAATCCTTTACAGGATTGATTAGCACCTGTTTTCCCGCATTTACTAAGTTAGCCTTCTTCAGTTTTCACTGCATGGAACCTCTAACATGAAAATGAGCTTCGAATGATCCTTGCAAATATCATAGGGATAAGTTAGCATTGAATCGTCTCATCTGCAACTGCAGCCATTCTAGTCCATACAAACGAGGCAGTCTATAGGCAAACTGTAAGTTTGCCTATAGGTCAAGTCCAAACGAGCCCTCGGTCAAGTCCAGTGGCTCGTTTCTCGACTTTTCGAGGTTATCAACTCATGTGTGGGTCACAGATTTCTCGAGTGTACTCGTACGTCCATCGCACCGTTGACTTTACAAGGATCAAGTACTGAATAGTCTTAGCTTCGAAGGAGAGCAAGCTTTCTTTCCGTCGTTTATCCCGAGTCTCACTTGAGGCTGACGCAATTCTAACTAGATCCCC